TTAAGGAACTTTAAAAATTATGTAAAATAATGTATTTTGTATTTTATTTTGTAAAAATATTGTATTTGCCTTCATGATATGTTAGGTTGGGAATCAGAGTGACTTGGAAAAGCTAGTGGGGATGGCTTTTTGCATTAAGGACTTTAAGAGCCTTGTAAAAATAAGATATTCTGAATAATAATGATATAACTTGGACTTTTTTTGGGGCATAGTTATCTACTGACTTTTTTTTTTGGAGACAGAGTCTCACTCTGTCACCAGGGCTGGAATACAGTGGCACAACCTTGGCTCACTGCAACCTCTACCTCCTGGGTTCAAGCGATTCTCCTGCCTTAGCCTCCTGAATAGCTGGGATTACAGGCATAAGCCATCACACCTGGCTCCTACTGATTTTTCTTTCTTTTTCTTTTCTTTTTTTTTTTTTTTTAAATCAAAACAGGAATCTTGAGGGCCATTGAGCAATGCCTACAAAATAAAAGAATAAAAGACTAGGTACAGCAAAATAAAATTGAGAGAGGCAATGTGGAAGCTGCTGCTTTTGCAAATTATTTAGGGCCAGTTGTCAATCAAATTGATCCCATCTGTTCAGAGTTTTCTAATTTAGTTTCTAGCTTTTCTGATTTTACCTTAGCTTAAGTAGATTTTGTGACTTATTGTTGGAGATCTCTCCATTTCCTCTGGTTCAGTTTCTTATTTCATCTACTTCAGCCTTTTTATTTTGCATTTTGCTACTGTTAAGTAGAACTTGGACTATTGAACCTGACTTTGTTGAATCCTTGTTAAGTATTTCTTTATTATGACTCTTGGCATTGACAATTTATACTATTCACCTGTGACCTTGAAGCCCTCAGCATGAACAAGTGAAAATCCATGTCCTTTAGTAATTGGTCATTTTTCTGAGGTAAGAATTTGAATTATAGCCACACAGCAAGGTTGCTGTGTGAGAAACTGTCACTTAACCAGTAAATGTTCATGAGCAATAAATGGCCTTTGCATCCTCACTTGATTGCAGCTCCACAGGGAAAACAGAAATTCTGGTGTCAGAAACTGGACTTCCTAATGTAAAGGGTCTACTGTGTAGGAGCAAAGGGAAAAGCAAAAGCACTCTCTGTTAAAAGAAGGATCAATTTTTAGTGGCAAGGTTCCACTAATAAAAATAATAAAATATTGTAAGTTTTAAGTATAATTTTGCATTTGCCTTCATGATATGTTAGATTGGGAAACAAAGTGACTTGGAAAAGCTAGTGGGGATGGCTTTTTGCATTAAGGACTTTAAGAGATTTAAAAAGACTGAATGGGACACACTTTTACAGTACATGTTAGAATATCTTAAATTTTCATCGTTCTGGCTGTTAGGACAAAAGAAAAAACTTTAGTCAGTTTTAGTGAAGCCCCCTTTATTTTGAACCATCTCTTGATAAAACATTGTTTCCACATACATGTAGAATCATAGATTCTGTTAGCAAGGGAAGGGGTAGGAAAAGAGCATCTGTAGTGAGATTTGATGGTTATTAGTCTGATTTTCTTCATTATCATGCTTCTGGGTTAGGATAAAGGAAAGTACAAGAAATTATCTTCCTTGATTATTATCTTCTTCCCCCTTTCATGAAGTTGAGCTCTTTGTGATGGGGTTAAGAAGCACGGTGCACTGAAAGATTTTTTTTTTCAATACTCTATAGTATAGTCTTGAAGTTAAGACCTTTTCAGGTTAAGACTTTCCTTCTCTCCCTGTGACTTTTGTCTTTACTTCAAGCAGACTTGGAAGCCTTCAGCTTCAGCATGGACTGAAACCATGAAATCTGAGTTCCATTATTAATCATGTATTTACCTTAGCTAATTGTGTTTTCAAAACCTTCATCCTTTCCTGTAGTTTTATAGTGTATATGACTGTGTAAGGGTTCTTGTTTTCAGACTTGTTGCTTTTCCTATGCCACAGACTCCTTCCTTTCATCCTTCAAACATGTAAAGATCTCTTATGGTGGGTAATAGTATGTATTCTAGAGCCAGGCAGTCCTGGCTTAAGCCCTGACTTGGTCACTGGCTATCTATGTGAACTTGAGCAAGTTTCTTAATCTCTCTGTTTCAGTTTCTTCATCTGTAAAATGAGAATAATAGTAATTCCTACCTCACAGAGTTGCTGTGAGGATTAAATTATTTAATTCTTTGAAGTACATAGAAGAGTGCCTGATACATAACATAGTAAGTAGTCAGTAAATGTTACTACTATTATTATCATTATTCTCCTTATCTCCCATACTCAGTCACTGAGATTTGTCAATTTTTCTTTTTTAGACTCTATAACATTTGCGTCTCTTTGCCCACCAGCACTAATACAGTTCCAGACCATGACATTAGTACCTCATGCTTGGGCAAGTACTGCCACCATTTCCAAGAGAGGTCCTATTAACACTCTCCTGCCACTAATAGCTAGTTTGTGCCAGTGCTTTTCAGTACTGGACTAATAACAGTTTGATATTGACACACCCTGCTCAAGAGCCCACAGCATTTTTTAGTATCTTGTTTTATCAAGCCCATATTCCTTTACCTGACTCTGGCATATCATTACTCTTTTCCTCTACTCAGGCCAGTCTTGAATTTTCTCATCTACATTATATACTTGGACATTTGCTCATGTTCTTCCTTTAGTCTCTATGCCCTTCCTTAATGTCCTTACCCTTGTACTCTTACTATTTATGTCCTAGCCATACTTCAAGAATCCAATGATTCTTTTTTTTCTTGTCTTTTTTTTTTTGAAATAAAGTCTTGCCTAGTCACCCAGGGTGGAGTGCAGTGATGGGAAGAATCCAGTGTTTATAAGAAGCCTTTCTGCATGTAAAGAACTGAGCTTGGTCAGGAACAGGATTGGTAGAAATGGGAGAGACTCAGACTAGAAAGACAGGTTGATTTAGAGATCAGGGCATGGATTGGGGATTACAGCTTTTAAATTTAAGAATGATAAAGAGGAACTGAAGTCTGAAAAGCTGATATAAAGTGGAAGGAGCACTTTAAGATAGAAGAATAAGGCATTGAGTGGATGGTATATGAATGACAACTGAGAGCAAAGTTTCAAGGCAGTGTTGAAAATCTGAAATGTCATTAAGGTTTCAGATACACCTGGGCAGATCCAGATGGACCCGGTGGCTTTAAGGTCCACGTGGACAGGCAAGATGGCATACTAATAAATTGGTAAGAGAATCAGTTAAGATCAAGAACTAGGTGTTAGGAATCTGAAGCAGTGAGCAGTAAGGTCTCAGAAATTCAGAGATTGGAGTCATAACAGAATAAAATAGGTCTCCTGGTTAGGCTCTGGTATTAAGACTAGTGCAGGATGATATCAAAACTGAGTATGCTAAGCTAAAGAATTTCCTTCTGGCTAAGATCAAAACTGGGTTGTGAGAATATTGCTATGTTGAGGCAACTTGATAGGCTCCTTTACCAGAGGTATAGGGGTAGAGTGACTACCGTTAATTAAGACCTTCAATGATTTCAGTGAGCTTAGTGTATGTTCCATGTTGTTGAGCTCCTGGTTAAGCACCACTACTGTCTTGTATTCCTGTGGCAGAGTGCTGTGAGTCTCATTTTCTCCATTCATATCTTGAGCTAGTTCAGATTAGGACCATTTTTAAAAAAGAGCCTTATTGTGATATGATTGGCATACAAGTGTATACATTTAAACCACACAATTTGATGTTTGACATATGTATGAGGGTAAAACTATCACAATCAAGAAAATAACATATTCATCACCCTCAAAAGTTTCCTTGTGTTCCCTCGTAATTCTTCCTTTCTGTACCTCTTTTTCCCCTCTCTTCCACTTTCTATAATTTTTTTTTTAAGAGATGGGATCTCACTCTGTCATCCAGGCTGGAGTATGGGTGTGATCATAGCTTACTGTAGTATAGAACTCCTTGGCTTAAGCAATCCTCCTGCCTTAGCCTCTTGAGTAGCTGGGACCATAGGCATGTGCCACCATGCTTCGCTATGTAGAATTTTATTTAAATGGAATCAGACAGAATGAACTCTTTTTATTTGACTTTCTTCCATTCAGCGTATTTATTTAATTATTTTGAGTGTCTGTAATTCATTTCTTTTTATTGCTGAAGAGTATTCCATTGTATGGATATGTATCTATTTTTTCATATATCTTTTGAGACCAGGAAACAGTCATTCTGTAGGTGACAAGAGAATTGACTGAATTTGGAGACCAGAGGATGAAAGAGAAGAATAGTGTGGAGAGAAAATTAGAATAATTATCTTTGTCTTTATTTTTATCTCTAAAGACACAGAAGGTATTTTAATAGTTGTAGGGTATTTGTCTGACTTGATTTCCTGTTGGTTTGTCATTTTTCTATAATAGTCTGCTAATGCTACTGAAGAGGAGTATTAAAAACACAATTGTAGGCCAGGTATGGTGGCTCATGCCTGTAATTCCAGTACTTTGGGAGTCTGAGGGAGGAGGATCACTTGACCCCAGGAGTTCAAGACCAGTCTCAGCAACATAGTTAGACCTCGGGTCTGTTAAAAATTACAAATTAGCCAGATAGGTGCCATGTGCCTATGGTGTCAGCTACTCAGGAGGCTGAGGCAGGAGGATTGCTTGAGCCTGGGAGGTGGAGGCTGCAGTGAGCCATGATTGTACCAGTGCATTGCAGCCTGGATGACAAAGTGAGACTGTCTACAAAAACAAAAAACAAAAAACAAAACAACCACAATAATTGTGTTACATAGCAACTTCAAGTAAACCTTAAACGCCTCTAAATTTGTCTTTCAGACAAAAAAAATTACAAAATATTTTTAAAGTTTCGAATTGGAACACAGTATAGATCTTGTGTTTCCTAATTTCTTCTAGAAGTGGCATCATTAACTACATTGCTGTTTAACGTATGCTCTCAATTCTGTTGTGTTTACCATAGTTACTATATTTATTTCAAAGGTTTTTCTTTCTAGAATATCTTGATTTTGAATCTGATGATTAAGTTTAAAAATATTTTGTTTTGTAGCCATGCAGGATATACGTACTGTGGGTCTTGTGCTGCCCATGCTTATAAACAAGTGGATCCGTCTATTACGTAAGTAATATGGTTTTGTTTTAACTCGGAGAAGCTTGAGAGTTCATTGCTTTGTTATAGAAGTAATTTGCTTTTTATACTTACTATTATTATGTACTCAATTTCTTGAGGGATTTGACTTTTGATGAATTTCACTCTACCTTATATAGGTTATAGAAAACTTCAGTACTCTTTTTTTTGTTGTTTGAACATTTGGTTTTTACCTTCCCTTTAAAATGTTCGGACCAGCTTGGTCAGCATGGTGAAACCCCGTCTCTACTAAAAATATAAAAATTACCCGGGCATGGTATTAGGTGCCTGTAATCCAAGCTACTTGGAAAGCTGAGGCAGGAGAATTGCTTGAACCTGGGAGGCGGAAGTTGCAGTGAGCCAAGATTGCACCACTTTACTTCAGCCTGGGAGAAAGAACAAAACTTTAAAAGAAAAAGAAAATCATGCATAGCCATCCCACTTGCCTTTGAGCAATTTGTTCAAAGTTTTAAAACAAAAAAGCTCTTCTTTCAAGTGTTTATGTAGCATTCTCTGTATATTGTATTATAATTCATTGAAAAGTTATTTTTAGCAAGTTTTTTCTAATGATAAAACAATAATATTTCTAAATTGGTGAGGTTTTGGCTAGCCCTGTCTTGTTTATGTTCTGAGGAGTGTTGTTAACAATTATCCCTTGATACATGTTTAATATATCATCTTAAGTAATTTATTTCATCAATAAGAGCAAATAGAAGTTAAGCTGAAACAATTTTTTAGTCCAGGCTTGGTGGCTCACATCTGTCATCCCAGCATTTTGGGAGGCTGAGGCAGGCAAATCACCTGAGGTCAGGAGTTCGAGACCAGCCTGGCCAACAGGGTGAAACCCCGTCTCTACTAAAAATACAAAAATTAGCTAGGTGTGGTGGTGGATGCCTGTAGTCCCAGCCACTCGGGAGGCTGAGGCAGGAGAATCGTTTGAACTGGGTGGTGGAGGTTACAGTGGGCTGAGATTGCGCCATTGCACTCCAGCCTGGGTGACAAGAGCTAGACTCCACCTCAAAAAAAAAAAAAAAAGGAATTTTTGGCCAGGTCTGGTGGCTCATGCCTGTAATCCCAACACTTTAGGAGGCTGAGGCAGGCCGATCACTAGGTCAGGAGATTGAAACCGTCCTGGCTAACATGGTAAAACCCGTCTTTACTAAAATACAAAAATTAGCTAGCCTTGATGGTGTGTGCCTGTAATCCCAGCTACTCAGGAGGCTGAAGCAGGAGAACTGTTTGAACCCAGAAGGCAGTGGTTGCAGTGAGCTGAGATCTCACCACTGTACTCCAGCATGGCGACAGACTGAGACTCTGTCTCAAAAAAGAAAAAAAAAAGATTTTTTATAAGCTTCTTTCATTTGACTTGGGCCTATAAGCCAGCTGTAATAAAAGTTTGTATAACAGCCTTTTCTTTTCCAAACCTTCCTCTGTTTGGCAAAAGATTTATTGATAAAACTCATGTGCTGGTGGGACACCTCAGAATTAAATTAGGCTTAGGGATTTGTAGAGGGGTATGGAGTTTATGTTCATAGAAGTGGAAAGCTTATGTGTTAAATAGGTTAATGGAAAGTGAGAATGGGAGGCAAAAGGAAAGGGAAAAATGGAAGTGAGCCAAGGACTAAGAAGAGGAAAATAAAGATGAGTAGAAAGAGGCAAATGATGGCTGATGTGATCAAATTATTTTATTTTAATTAATTAATTTTTTGAGAAAGAGTCTGGCTCTGTCGCTCAAGCTGGAGTGACATGGTGTGATCTTAGCTCACTACAACCTCTGCCTCCAGGTTCACTTGATTCTCCTGCCTCAGCCTCCCAAGTAGCTGGGACTACAGGTGCATGCCTCCGCACCCAGCTAATCTTTTATATTTTTAGTGGAGGCTGGCTTTTGCCATGTTGGCCAGGCTGGTTTTGAACTCCTGACTGCAGGTGATCCGCCCCCCTTGGTCTCCCAAAGTGCTCGGATTATAGGCATGAGCCACTGTCTCAGCGCAGTGAAATTATTTTTTTGTTATTAGTATATAATAATTGAATTCCGCATGAATATATTTCAAGGTCTAAGTGTAAAAGTAATAATTGTCAGTCACAGTTGAATTCTCTTGAAAGAGGTACTTTCTGGGAATTATAGTGGCTTTAGAGTGCTTTGAGAAGGTAGAGACAGAATATCCTTTTGGCATCTATAAGAAATATAGAGAAAAAAATGAGAGTCCAAGAGAGAAGGTTAAATTCTATACTACCACTTTCTATTCTTACCTTCCACAGTAATCCATTTTCATTCCATATTTCAGCCAGGATCATGTTTTGAAATGTAAATGATATCATGTTACTTTCCAGAATTTAAAAGTGGGTGGGGGTACAAATAAGATTTTAAAAGGCATTGCAAATAACAGGTAAAAATTATTCCAAAATTGATGTTAGAAAGCTGACTAGCAGCTTGTAAAAAGAAATTGGTTTAGAATCCCTGCTAACACTGTCCATCAAAGTAAATAATAGTTAGGTAAGGGTATTAAAATATCTGGAGAGGCATTTCAAGCCATAGCTAATTTGGAACACAATATGTCTTAATATTTATGAGACATTGTTGGGAAGAGTACAAAATGTGATAAATTATAATTAGATTAAATTATATGGCAAGGGGGAAACTCATGTCATAATGTAACCAAAGGAAGCAATGAACAGAATAGGAAAAATATTTGCAAAAAAGTGACAAAGGATTAATATCAAAAATAATAAAAATCTTAGTATTTAGGGCTAAGAATATTAATTGAAATTACAAAAAATGTAATTAATAAAATAAAAATGGAAAATTTTTTTCTTTTTATATATATGTATATATATGTATATATTTTATTGCACTTTAGGTTCTGGGGTACATGTGCAGAACATACAGGATTGTTGCATAGGTACATACATGGCAATGTGGTTTGCTGCCTCCATCCCCATCACCTATATCTGGCATTTCTCCCCATGTTATCCCTCCCCAACTCCCTACTCCCTGCTGTCACTCCCTTAGTCCCCCCAAACAGACCCCAGTGTGTGATGCTCCCCTCCCTGTGTCCATGTGTTCTCATTATTCAACACTTGCCTATGAGTGAGAACGTGCTGTGTTTGATTTTCTGTTCTTGTGTCAGTTTGCTGAGAATGACGGTTTCCAGATTCATCCATGTCCCTACAAAGGACATGAACTCATCATTTTTTATGGCTGCATAGTATTCCATGGTGTATATGTGCCACATTTTCCTTGTCCAGTCTATCATTGATGGGCATTTGGGTGGTTCTAGGTCTTTGCTATTGTAAACAGTGCCGCAATGAACATACATGTACATGTGTCTTTATAATACAACGATTTATAATCCTTTGGATATATACCCAGTAATGGGTCAAATGGAATTTCTATTTGTAGGTCCTTGAGGAATCGCCACACTGTCTTCCACAATGGTTGAATTAATTTACACTCCCACCAACAGTATAAAAGTGTTCCTATTTCTCCACATCCTCTCCAGCATCTGTTGTCTCCAGATTTTTTTAATGATCGCCATTATAACTGGCATGAGATGGTATCTCAGTGTAGTTTTGACAGTAGTGAGGTACCAATTTAAATGAACAGTTTGAAGAACAATACAGTTTTGTAATTCTTGTAATCCAGAACTGGCTAGATTACGGCAAAATTAGTTTTTTTTTTTTTAAATAAAGAAATACATTTCAATGGACTATATCAGGTTAAAGCAATTTGATAATATATAGTAAGAGTCATAGAAATGCATATATTTACTGGTTTAGAAATTCAGGTTCAAAAGCTCTATCCTAATAAGTCCCCAAACGGAAAAAGTTAAATGTGTTAAGATTTCTACAGCAGCATTATTTTTTAAAGAATCTGAGTTTCTAATAGTGTATTGACTAAATACATATGATAGTTTACTCAATGGAATCTTTTGTAGCTGTTGAAAATGATGGTGATGAAGGCTTTGTAGTAACTTGGAAAATATTTATAATATGGCAAGTAGAAAAATCAGGGTATAAAATTGTGTACAACTGGGAAAAAAGAATGTACTTTATGAGGTTAAATAAATTATAATGGTTGATAATAGTTTGCATATATTTTCTTGTATGATAAATGGACATATTTTTATGGTGAAAAATACAAAATTTGAAAGCATTTGTGCAAAAATGATTACAAGTTAAGGGGACTAATGATTCTTAAACTGACAGAATGGTTCCTTGATTTATAATATGACTGATCAGAGCCTAATAAGATTTTTCTTTCCTTTTTTATTTTTTTAAGATGGAGTCTCTCTCTGACAGCAGGCTGGAGTGCAGTGGCGCGGTGTTGGCTCACTGCAACCTCCGCCTCCTGAGTTCAAGTAATTCTCTTGCCTCAGCCTCCCGAGTAGCTGGGATTACAAGCATGTGCCACCATGCTTCACTAACTTTTGAATTTTAATAGAGATGAGTTTTCACTATGTTGGCTAGGCTGGTCTTGAACACCTGACCACGAGTGATCTGTCTGCCTTGGCCTCCCAAAGTGTTGAGATTACAAGCATGAACCACCATGCCTGGCCAGGATTTTCTTTTCACAGTAACTATTAGGGCTGGTAACTTAATGGGGAGTGTAAGAGGCAGCTTTTGAGGTGATAATGAAGATTGTTTGCAAACAAACTTGCCTGTTTTATGAAGACTTGGTAACAAAGGGTTTTAGGTGTTGCTTTCCAAGAGAAATGGATGAATACATTAAAGCATATTTCTTTTAAAAGTTTATTAAATGACTGCTGTGATCCAGATATTGTGGTAGTGCTACAGACACAGTGATAGATAATACAGACATGGTTTTAGCTCTGTGCTGATAAACTGGTAGGTGAGATAGATCTTATTAAGCATATGATAACAATAGGTATCTTATTAAACGCTAAAAATCTAATGAAAAAGCTGAAAGTAAAATACAGTGGTTCTCAAACTTCTTGGTTTCAGGACCCCTGTACACTTTTAACTTATTAAGA